TCAGAGAATACCAGAAATTCAACAGCAGCGAAACTCCATCTCAGAGTCTCTGGATATGAAATGGGCGGTCGCGCCCAATCGGATATCGTACACCGAGGGTGAGAAAGGAGGAACATAGAATAACACACAGCACTGCTCTCGAGCGTGCAAACTAGGATGAACTGCGGCACAGGATATTTCGGAGGGGAGGCGGAAACGATATTATCAGTCTGGCGCCGAGGTTGGTCGTCCGACCACCCCCTTTCGAACTCTTGCCAGTCGGCCTCGTGGGAAGTCTGCAGGCGAGGGGCCATGCAGAGGAGCGCGCATCACCGGGCCGCGCTCGTCCCCCTCGCCCTGGAGGGAAGCGCCGCTCACGTGCTTGGGCCCGAACTCCCACTCCGGATGCGACGCGGCCGCCCGCGTCGGGATCATCTCCGACTGCGCCGTCGCGCAGGGGGCGCCCACTCGCACGTTGGCCTTCTCGTCCGAGCGCCCGGAGTCGCCGCTACTGACCACGAGCCTCGCGTTCGCCTTCAGCGGCAGGTCGTTCGCCTCCGCCCTCGGCGGGTCGTTCTTGTCAGTCAGCGCCCACCGCGTGCTCATTGTGCAGTCGCCCTTGCCGTCTCGCTTCATCTCTTCCTCGAGCTTGGCTGGCTCCTTCTCCAGCAGCGCTTCCGCAGACTCCGCGTCGATCCACTTGGCCCACTGAGCTGCCGCCGCTTCCTCGTTGTTCACCTTGGTCGGCGGATCCATCCGACTCCAGACCTTCTCCTTCCGAGCCTGACCCTGCGCCGGCATCGCCTCGAACTCGGGGTCAGTGGCCGGCACCGTCTTCAAGTCGCCCGGAAAACGTTGTCGGTCCGCCGTAGGGGCGCATCTGGGCCATGTCGCGGCTCTCTTCGCCACTCCTTTGACCCAGATCGCCTCGTCAGGATGCTTCGGCTCCGGTGGTCCTTCGCGTCCTCCACGAGACGGCGCCTCTGGCTGTTCAGCTTCCGCCGCGTCACGCTTCCGACCTTGAGGGGGGTCTTCCTGCGCTGCCTGCGACGGGTCCGCCGCGGGCTCTTGAACTGCCTCGGACTCCTCAAGCGGAGGAGTGCTCGGAGCGAAGTTGCCGTAGGGCCCGAATTGGCCCTCAGGGGCGATGGACGCCACCAGGTCCGATTGAGCGGTTGAAGGCATAGGCCGCTCTCGCGCCTCACTCGCGCGCTTCTGGATGGTCTTCGCCGCGCGCAGCACCTTGGACATGCTCGGATCTCCGTCTTGGTCTCGCAACCGGTGCGCCGCGTCGTGTAGAAAGTCCGTCTTCCCACTCTCCCGAGAGCTCGTCCTCCTCGAGAACGCGGCACTCGAAATGGGATCTCGCGAGTCACTGGCCGACGCACCGGCCGTGGTAGCCACCGCGGCCGAGGCCGGGATCTCGTTCGTCGGCTCCTGCTCCTCCTGCTCAGCGTGGTCCTCCACTGCCTCGTCGGCTTGCGACGGTCGAGCCTCCGCCTCGGGCGCCTCGGGTCCATCGCCTTCAGCTCGATCATTTTCGCCCTCTTCCTCGTTTGCCTTGTTCGCGTCTTCCATGTTCAGCTCCCCGTCGCCTTCCATCTCGAGCAGCGCCTTCTCCATGATGTCCAGCTGCTCCCTGGCGCTGATGCCCAGCGCCTCGTCAGGCGACGCGCGGCGGACCGCCGCGGGGTCACGCTTGGTCGACGGCCCCTCGTGCGAGACGTAGATGGCCGCCGGCTCGACTCCGATGACGACGGCCGGCCCGTGCCAGGCCTTCAGATCAAAGCTGGGCCGTTCTTTCACCGGTCCTTCCGCTTGCCCTCGCGGTAGAAGTAGACCGCGTCGCCGAGCTTCACGTTCGTGCCTGGAGGCATCCTGCGGCTCCGAGCGACCAGAGCTCTCCGCAGTCGCTTGCTGGTGTCCAGCTTCTCCAGCGCCGCCTTCGCCGCGCTGTGGACCTGCGGCCGCTTCGTCTTTGAAGGGTCGTTGTCCACCGCGTCGTGCGACGCGAGCTGGGAGCGGCCGCGCTCGCTCAGCAGTCCCCGCGGCAGCGTCTGGGTTCGCCCCAGCGCAAGTTGTGCCGGCGAAAAGCCGGACTCGTTGATCTTCTGGTTCTTGGCCTAGGTTATCATCGCATCAGCGGCCGTCACTTCCAACTCAGTCTCGATTTCCGCCTCCGTAGTGCTGGCCCTCCGGAGCACCTTCCATTCACCTCCAGCTCGCTCGCGCATGCCATTCTGCCGCGGCGCCTCCACCGCCGTGAACCATACTTGCACACCGCAGCCCTCCAGCAGCCGGAACACCTCCCTGTAGAACTCGCCGCCGTTGTCACATGCCAGTGAGTTGGGTACGCCAGCCCAGCTAAACCAGACCAGCTCCAGCGCCTGGGCTACGATACTGGCATGCTTGCTCTTGATGGGCGCCACCGCCTGGAAGCCCGTCTTGATGTCTACGATGTTGAGCATCTCCAGCGCCGCGCCCGAGTTCGTATGCACCGTGAACAGGTCGATCGCGATCTGCTCGCCGAACTCCTTCACCTTCTTAAGCCGCGCGGGGAACCTGGTGTGTCCAATGGCTGGTCTTGTCATCTTGTGACGCACCGGGCGCTGCAACTGCGCCGCCGCCGCGATGGCCTCGTCGCTTGCCCCGCGCGCGCGGAACGCCTGCGCGAGCTGATCTTTCGACGGATGCCTCAGGTTCTTGTGGATCCTGAGCACGGCGTTCCGAACCTCCTTCGATACCTTCGTCTCCGTCAGCGTCGTCAGATCCTCCCGGTTTTCTGCTGTGGCCGACAAGCCCACGAATCCCCGATCATCCACCTCCTCTGGGCCCCCCTCGGAGTCCCCCTCGGCAGCGAGCGCCTCCTCTGCGCCGAACAAATTCCGCATGCCCTTCACGGCGCTCCTCGCCAGCGCCGAAGTGCAGTGGCCCGTCCGCGCAGGTGCGAGCGGGGCCCCGTGACGAGGTAATGCTCGTGCGATTGGTCGCATTGCCGGTCGAGGTCCACTAGCAATTCCCCGCGTGACCCCAGGAACCGCGTTGGCTTCCGAGGTGCCCCTCCGCGCTCTGAGGTGAGCCCGTGCCTGCACAGGTCCACCTCCGCGGCGTGGCCCTGCCTGATGAGCTCGCCAAGTTCTGGCCCACCCCAGACTCGAGACCACCTCGGGTTCTCGATCGACCAAGCACCTCCATGACCTTCCACGGCCATCGCCGCCTGCCTCACAAACCTGAGAAAGGGCCGATGTCGATCTTGTCGCTCTTGAACTTTGGCCTGGTCCTTCTGGGAGTAAGGCAGGTCACTCCATGGGCTGCAGGGGAGAGCCATCAGCATCAACTTCTGCTTCTTCGTCTTGATGTCCTGCATCACCTCGCGGCGCTTCTTGGGCGATCGCAAGTCGTCGCCAAACTCCAGCGAGTAGCTCCTCATGGTCGGGAGCCCCTGCCTTGCCGCCTCCTTGCGCACCGCCTCCTTCGTCGTGAACACCTCTGTGATCCACGGCTGTGTCCCGGTCTTCTCGCTGACCGCCGCCTCGCACTCGGCCTCCCGCGAGTCGAAAGCGGGCCCGAACTCCGTCAAGTAGGCCTCGGGCTTGATGTTGATCATCTGCAGGTAGCGCTGCAGGGGTCGCAGCTGGTCCTTTACCAGCGTCTTGGTGCCGTTCTTCATCGTCTCCACCGTCGGGGTCAGGCCGACCCGGTCCGCAAAGTTCACCTCCTTCGCGACCTTCAGCGGCATCACCATGCCCGCCATGGCGGCGCCGAGCAGCCACCTCGAAAACGCTGAGGGTCCTCGAGCTGCAGGGCGCGCGCTCGATGGCCGAGAGGCGGCGGGCGCGTCGCCGCGCTGCCGGCCGCCGGGCCTCTCGAGCCCGACCGGGCTCGCACGAACAGCCCCTCGTCGTGCGCGTAGGCTGCGTCCGTCAGCGCCGGCATCGTCATCAGCTCCGGGTCGCCGTCCGTCGGAACCTCGTGGCCGCGGACGTACTCCACCAGCTCGCTCTTGTTCTTGAGCCCCAAGGGAGGCAATGCTCGCATGCGCGCGCTCGATGCCGAGCTCGGCGCCCCCGGGGCTGGGCTGCCCGCTGGCCCAACGGAGCCTGAGGCTCCCGGCGAAACGCCCACGCTCAGGAGCGCTTCGCCATCCTCCCGCGGCCCTCCTCCTCCTCCTCCTCCTCCTCCTCCATACACAACTTCTCCCTGCCGCGCCCCGAGGCTAGTTTTTAGGACGGGCTGGGCGTTTCGTTTCGCTTGAGACTTCCTCACCGTTTCTAGTTTTTTGTTGGTTAATCTATATATATATATATATTTACATAACAGTTTTACATCTATAGGGCTGGCGATTTTCAAAATGTGGCTCCCGCCTTAGCGCCGCGCACATTTGTTTTAAACATTTGCAAAAGTAACGGTTTGAGGGCGGGTCACACATTCGTGCTAAACATTGCAAGAGTTTCACGGATTGAGGGCGGGTCGTTTTCAACATGTGGTTCTCGCTTGTGCGTCGAGCGCACTCGTTTGAAACATTTGCAAAAGCTTCACGGATTGAGGGCTGGTCGTTTTCAAACTGTGGCTCTCGCATTAGCGCCGCGCACATTCGTTTAACCAATTTGCAAGAGTTTCGCGGTTTGAGGGCGGTTTATTTTCAAACTGTGGCTCTCGCCTTAGCGCCGCGCGCATTCGTTTCAAACGTTTGCGAGAGGCGCCGCCCGGGGCCCGCGCCCACCCAAACGGCAGTCTTCGAACGGCTGTCTTCCCACGAGGCCCTTCGGTGGAAATCAACCATTATAGGGGCCTATGACGGATGAGCTTTGGGGGACGGCTTATTCCAACATCGTTGAATCTCCTTGGGTTCCCAGTGGTCCTCCTCCTCCTCCTCGTCCTCCTCGTCCTCCTCGTCCTCCTCCTCCTCCTCCTCCTCCTCCTCCTCCTCCTCCTCCTCCTCCTCCTCCTCCTCCTCCCCACCCCTGCCGAACCCCCCCCCCTCTTCTCGACGCCCGGATCCCAGCGCCGGCCGCCGCCAGGGGCCGCGCCGCCCAATGAAGTGAGCCGCCTCCCAGGGCCCGCGCCGGCCTGCGGACCCCGCCGCGGGGCGAGCGGGGGGCGGGGGCTCCGCTCGGATGTCCGCGGTGCGGGCCCTCCGCGGGCCCCACCCACCAGAGGTCAAGGTCAAGGTCAAGCCCGTATGCCCACAAGGGGCGGCCACGTAGGGCACAGGCGGGGGGAACACTGCAGGCTCTGCGGCTGGCGCTGCACACAGTCAGTCCGTCAAGCCTGGCGCAGAGATGGCGCACTGGCAGCCGGCCCCACCCACCAGATCTCTTCGATGTTGCTCTGCCAGGGCGCCTTCGAGGGCGCGGAGTTCTTCGCGTTTCGCGCTTCGCGGTCCGATTGCCCTTGGGGGCGGCGCGAGAGCGCGGAGTCACAGTCAACCCGCACAGTTAAGGATGGGCGATTTTCCAATGCTACCCTTGCATCCTTCCCCTTCGGCCCACCCTTATTCGCTTTCGCTGGCCGCGCCCCGCTCGCAAAGGGTCGATAAGGCCTTCCGAGGCCTTTGCATTCTTACCGCGCATCCTTCTCATACGCGTTGGCTGTAGCGGATCTGTTCGATAGGAGTCTGATTCAAGTTCGGGTCCACTTCGGCTCGGGTTCGTGTCGAGTCGACGGACGTGTGCGACGCGGCATCGGCGCACGAGCGGAGCGAAGTGCTCCAGGAATGCCTCCAGAGCGAGCATCCAAGGTCGCAAACTGGAGCGTATACGTTACCAGTGGCGGGCCGTTTTTCAATCTCAGGACTTTGGGGGTCGGGGACGACGCCGGGGTGGTGTGGTGTATACCTTTTCTGTTTCCGTCTCCCGAGGAAACAGCGAGAAATGTATACACCAGGATCTCGCATACACCAGGATCCGCTTTCCTGTGCGAATTGCACTGCAGGGCCGGAAAACAAAGCGTCGATGCATAGAGTTCGGTTCCCTACCGGGGTGGGTCGAAAGCTGGGCGAGGGCTGCTAAAAACGTGGCTGCTAAAACGGCCCTCCCAGAAGGAAAAAACAACTTCCCGGAATGAGGCGCGGCACGCGAAACAGTCAACGGGCTTCTTCCCGGAAGGACGAAGACAACTTCCTGGAGGTCGGTTTTAGCAGCCACGGGTTTAGCAGCCCTTGCCCAGCTTCCGAGTGGGCGGGGGCGGGGGCCCTGCTCCCTCAGGGGGAGGGGGGAGGGGGGCACCGGCTGCCCTAGGGAGGCGGGCCCCGAGGCCCTCTTCGCCGCCTTCGCCCTCTGGGGGCCGCTTCTGGGCCCTCGGGGGGCCGTGGCCAGAACCGACTCCGGGTGAGGGTCTGGTCCTGGGGCAGGGCCTCCGCGGGTCCGGGAGCCGCTTCTCTCAGTCGGGGGAACGTGAGACTCGAGTAAGCCGGAACTCGGGTTTGCCGAACTCGGGTTCGCCGACTTTTTTTTTGACGAGCGCGTCCTGGAATGGCCGCGCGTGCTGCGCCGCGTTTTCCCGCGGGGACGCAGTCGTCCAGCCTCGGGTCCTCCAGTCGTCTTTTCGTCCTCGCAGTTGCTTCTCCTCCACCTCCTCCTCCTGTTTCTCCTCCTCCTCCTCCTCTCCTGGTTCTGTGCCTCCTTCCCCTCTGCACTCCTCCTGCGAGGATGACGAGGAAGAATGGGGAGGAGGAGGAGGAGGAGGAGGAGGAGGAGGAGGAGGAGGAGGAGGAGGAGCAGGAGAAACAGGAGGAGGAGGAGGAGGAGGACGAGGAGGAGGAGGACGAGGAGGATGAGGGTGAGGATGAGGATGATGATGATGATGCTGATGATGATGACGATGATGATGATGATGGTGATGATGATGATGATTCTGCTGGTGGTTGTGGTTGTGATGATGATGATGATGATGATGATGATGATGATGATGATGATGATGATGATGATGATGAGGAGGAGGAGGAGGAGGAGGAGGAGGAGGCGGAGAAGGAGGAGGAGGAGGGTGAGGAGGATATCGGTTTGTTTAGCTGCGACGCTGATGAGGCTGGGAGCCTGTCAGCAGAGGCCAGCACGCGTCTCGTAACATATTTGTGATATTATACATTGATGCTTGTGCGCTCCGGTAGCAGGTATAGTACAGGCGGGGTAAATGACAAGTATAGTTTAGTAGTTAAGGACAAGGCAAGACATGTAGGCGGCAAGGAGCGGTATTGGTGCGATGCTTGCGTAGTGTCCCTGACCTGCGCACAACATAGGCTGCAAGACTCGGCCTGACGATCCATACCTGAGGGAGACGAGGTATCTTTGGCTCCCAGACGGCACGCAAACGAGGCGGTGGAGGACACACAACAGGCCATCTTTGCACGAAGACGAGGTGAGAGGGAAGCTGTACGTCTCTGGAACTCGTCATGACCAAAATGAAATGCACGCCCGAGTTTGCTAGTGTGGTACGCATGCCAGAAAGATGTGAACGGTCCACTGTAGTTGTACCATGGCTAAACGATCTTCGTCCCCGCGACGGTACGAACGACGGAAGACGGGGGACACAACCATAGAGTTATCTGCACGCCTATTATACAGGACTCCCCAGCCGCTCGCGTCAAACATGCGTAGGAACACGGGCGGAGGGACGGGCCAGAGCCTAGCTGACGGGCGATTGGGGGGAGCAGAGGGTGCCTTGCACATGTGGTGCGCGTTGGGTGCACCATTACACCCAGGCTGGGTATCACGTGGGCCCTTGGCGTCCCAGCACTGCAGACACTCAGAGTCGCTGATCGCACGACAGACGCGGTCGGTCGGGGAACTTGAGTTCGATGACGTGAGGAGAATAACAGAGGGAGGACGGAGGGAGGAAGGGGATGATGGTGGTGGTGATGGTGGTGGTGATATGGGTTGTTGTGCTTGTGAGGATGATGATGAGGATGGTGACGGTGGTGGTTGTGGTGATGGTGGTTATGACGATGATGACACCGATGACAGCCATGATCAACATCCCCCACACGTTGCGTACACTTGAGCTTGGCATCGAGGTGCCCTCAAGGGTGCTGAAACCAGCGCCCCGCCCGAGACATGCTCCAAATCTGCCCTGGAAGCAAAAGGGAGGTTGAGCCACAGAACAGGCAAACCGCCTGAGACAGCTCCACGGACTGGCCGCGAACGGGCCCGTGTCAAACCCCTGGGCGGCTCCCCTTAGGGGTGTTGAAACCAGCGCCCCGCCTGAGACATGCTCCAAATCTGCTCTGAAAGCAAAAAGGAGGTTGAGCCACAGAGCAGGCAAACCGCCTGAGACAGCCCCACGAACCGGCCGCGAACGGGCCCGTGTCAAACCCCCGGGCGGCTCCCCTTAGGGGTGTTGAAACCAGCGCCCCGCTTGAGACATCCTCCAAATCAGCTCTGACAGCAAAAGATGTTGAGCCACAAAACAGGCAAACCGCTTGAGACATCCCCGCAAACTGGCCGCGAACGGGCCCGTGAAAACACCCCAGGCGGTGCCCCGTAGGGGTGCTTAAACCAGCGTTCCGCTTGAGACATTTTCACACGTTGCTATAAGCGCGGACGATGTTGAGTATGGAAACAGGTAAACCGCTTGAGACATCCTCACGAACTGGCCGCGAACGGGCCCGTGAAAACAGCTCCTGGCGGCTCCCCGGCGCCCCGCCTGAGATACCTCACAATCTACTCTAAACGCAGACGGGACGGTGTTGGCCACCGAAACAGGCAAGCCGCTTGAGACATCCCCACAAACTCGCCGCGAACGGGTCCTTGCAATATCCCCTTAGGGGTGCTGAAACCAGCGCCCCGCCTGAGACATCCTCACAATCTGCTATCAACGCAGGCGATGTTGACCACCGAAACAGGCACTGGCCCGCTTGCGCCCAGATTAGCGGGAATTCTCGCGTAGAACGGCTGGGGAACACCCACGCCCATACTTTTGTTGCAGCGACGTGGGCGAACCACGGAGCGTTAGTCTACTTGCCAAGCTGCCGTGAAGCGAGCTGCACACCAGAGAGGCAAGAATCAGGAGGGGAAGAAACACACAGGCTCAAGTGATCGTCGACTGCCAGGGAAATATTTGAAAATTTGGGAAGTGAGGGGAAGACGAAACCTCCGGAAATACAGGAACACATGATTTATAGCTATGTCTATATCTATATCTGTATCTATATCTATATATATATATATATATATATATATATGTGTGTGTGTGTGTGTGTGTGTGTGTCCCTGGGGCCTTTTACTTACAGAACTGCGCACCGTAGTCGCGTGTCCTCTCTCAGAGCCCCGTGACCACCGAGGTGCAGCAAGTATCGGGCTCGGGCCGGGGGTCCGGGCGGTCCGCCAGGGGTTCTGTTGCGCGGGCCCGTTCGTCCCCAGACCTGGCGGAGCCTCTCAAGCGGCGCGCCTGCTGTGCGGGAGGTGACGTGTCTGCCTCCACAGCCCCACGACCACCGCGATGTAGCAGGCATCGCATTCCCATGCCAGCCGGCGTCGTCGTCGTCGTCGCCGCCGTCGTCGTCGTCGTCGTCGTCGTCGTCGTCGTCGTCACGGTGGCCGCCGTCGCAGCCGTCGCCGCCGGCGTCGTCGCCGTCGCCGTCGCCGCCGTCGTCGCCGTCGCCGCCGTCGTCGCCATCGCCGTCGTCGTCGTCGTCGTCGTCGCCGTCGCTGTCGTCGTCGTCGTCGTCGTCGTCGTCGTCGTCGTCGTCCTCGTCCTCGTCGTCGTCGTCGTCGTCGTCGTCGTCGTCGTTATCCTTGTCCTCGTCGTCGTCGTCGTCGTCGTCGTCGTCGTCGTCGTCGTCCTCGTCGTCGTCGTCGTCGTCCGGCCCCGCAGGACGCGAGCGCCATGTGGCGCCCGCGGGGCCTCGCGGCCGCGCTGGCGTCGGCGGCCCTCCGCGGGGTGCTCGAGGCGCAAGGCGCCGCCACGCCCTGCGAGGCTGCTGCTGCTGCTGCTGCTGCTGCGGCTGCTGCTGCGGCTGCCTGGGCCGAAGTTGCACGTCGAGTTTCGGGAGGTCCGCGCTGACCTGTCCTCAGGATCGGCGGCGGTTTCGTCGGCTCTCGGCAGTTTGTCACCCTCGGGATGCGTTCCAGCGGCTGCGCCTCGCTGAGGGCGTCCCGGGGGTGCCCGGATCGTCCTGAAAGGCCGCCAGGGACCCGAGTTATGACCCCCAAAACCAAATTCGGCGGCGAGCGAGAGGGTGAAGTGAGAAGGAGAGGGTTTTCTCAGGAGGCGGCGGAACTTCTCAGGAGCCCTCGCGCCTTCCGAGAAGCCTTCTGTGTCTTTGGGGAAGGGCTTAGAAAGCTTCTCAGAAGGCCAGGGGACTTCGAGCCTTCTCGGAACACTCGCGCCTTCTGAGAAGTCTTTGTGTCTTCGGGGAAGGCTTAGAACACTTCTCAGAAGACGGGAGACTTCCGATCCTTTTCGGAGGGCCCGCCCTTCCTCATTTCCCCCCCTCGCTCGCCGCTGGCAGAAGGCGGCCAGGGCGGACCTGCTGCCACTGGGTCCACTCCACGCGTGCTGTGTCCGGCGGCTCAACCTGGCCCCCCTTCCCCGCTGCCGAGGTTCTCGGTCGGGCTCCGAGGACGAGCCTGGGAGGGCCGTTTTGGGCCATCTTTGGCGCCTCCTGGCGCGCCCTCGTGGCCACGGCGGAGTTTGCCTCGAGATTCTGGCCGAAACGCACCCTGGGACAGGTGCGGGGTGTCAGTTTTTGATTTCGCACTGGGTGCCCTTGGGGCCAGGCTTTTGAAAGCTCAGGCTCGACTTGGTCTATGCGTTTGGCCTTGTGCGGTCAAGCTGGCACTGTTTCAGATGCTCGGGCTCCAGGGTCCTCCGCAGCGCGCACGTCCGCGCCCAGAGACGCCCTCCCCAGGGAGCGTGCTTGCTCATCCCAGACCGTTGTTTGATGCCCCCAGGACCCGAAACGTCCAGGCCGCCAGTAGGCGGGGTCAGTAGATCACGCCACATTGCCGATGCATCGGCGATGCCTCGGCGATGTCGGCATGGGCAGAAAGTTGGGTTCTGGACGGAGGGAAATGGGCATGATGATGATGGTAATGCATCTGATGATGATGATGATGATGATGATGATGATGATGATGATGATGATGATGATGATGATGATGATGATACTGATGATGAAGATGAAGATGAAAATGATGATGATGATGATGATGATGATGATGATGATGATGATGATGATGCTGATGCTGATGATGGTGATGCTGATGATGATGATGATGCTGATGCTGATGCTGATGATGATCATGATGCTGATAATGATGATGCTGCTGATGATGATGATGGAGATGCTGATGCTGATGATGAGGATGAGGAGGATGCTGATGATGACGACGATAGGGATGATGATAATACTGCTGATGATGCTGATGATGGTGATGATGCTGCTGGTGATGGTGATTTTGATGATGATGATGGTGGTGATGATGATTATTATGTTGGGTATGAGGGTGATGATGGTGATGGTGATGCCGATGATGACCATGACGATGACGATGACGATGACGATGACGACGATGACGAAGACGATGACGGCGATGGCAATGACGATAACGATGACGATGATGATGATGCTGATGATGATGATGATGATCATGATGATGAGGACGACGATGACGATGACGATGACGATGACGTTGACGATGATGATGATAATGATGATGATGATGATGATGATGATGATGATGATGATGATGATGCCGTTTATGATTCTGATCATGAGGTTGGGGATGATGCTGATGATTCTGCTGATGATGCTGATCCTTGTGGTGATGATGATGCTGGCGGTGCTGGTGATCAACATGATGTTGCTGCTGATGATGCTGCTGAGATGATCATGATGAGACTGATGGCGCTGATGCTAATGATGATGTTGATGATGCTGATCATGATGATCAGGAAGCTACTGCTGCTGATGCTGATGCTGCTGCTGCTGCCGGCGGCGACGATGATGATGCTGCTGATGATGATGACGGCGACGACGACGACGAGGATGCCGACGACGACAGTGATGATGATGCTGATGATCATGATGCTGCTGCTGCCGCCGCTGATGACGATGATGATGTTGATGTTGTTGATGATGATGATGCTGATGATGATGATGATGATGATGATGATGATGATGATGATGATGATTGATGATGATGATGCTGATGATGATGCTGATGATGATGATGATGATGATGCTGATTGTGGTTGGGGTGGTTGTGGTGGTGATGCTGATGCTGCTTCTGATGATGATGATGCTGATAATGTTGTTGATGCTGATTCTGATGTTGATGACGATGCGGCCGATGCTGATCTTGCTGCTTCTGCTGATGATACTGATGATGCTGCTGATGATGATGCTGACGGGCAAGCTCGAGCCGATCGACCAGATGCTCGCACCCAAGCTCCCCGACTGGGGGGCGTCGGGCTCAAGCCGAAACGGCTACGGATGATGCTGATGTTGATGATGATGATGTTGACGATGATGCTGATGATGCTGCTGATGATGATGATGATGCTGTTTTTGTTGATGATGATGATGATGATGGTGACGATGGTGATTGTGATGGTGATGCTGCTGGTGATGGTGATGGTGATGTCGATTGCGACTATGATGATGACGCTGTTGATGATGCCGATGATGATGATGATGCTGATGATGATGATGATGATGATCATGCTGATGATGGCGATGATGGTGATGCTATTGCTGCTGGTGATGCTGTTGATGATGCTGACGATGGCGATCACGATGACGATGACTATGATGCTGCTGCTGATGATGATGACGATGATGATGATGACGATGATGCTGATGATGATGATGATGATGGTGATGGTGGTGATGGTGATGATGATGACGATGACTACGACGGAGATGATGATGATGACGATGATGATGATGCTGTTGCTGATGATGAATACTATCATGATGATGATCATGATGATGAAGTTGCTGATGATTATGATGATGATTGTAATGGTGATGGTGACGGTGATGATGATGATGCTGCTCATTACGATGATGCTGATAATGATTATGATTGCGATGACGACGACGATGACGATGCTGATGATGATGCTGATGATGATAATGTTGATCATGATGATGCTGCCGCTGCTGCTGATGATGATGGAGATGATGATGATGATGATGATGATGATGATGATGATGCTGCTGTTGGTGACGATGATGATGATGATGATGATGATGATGCTGATGCTGATGCTGATGCTGATGATGATGATGATGATGATGATGATGATGATGATGATGATGATGATGATGATTCTGATGGTGATGATGATGACGACGATGATGATGATGCTGATATTGCTCATGATGATTATGCTTCTGATGATTATGATGATGATATTGACCCACGATCATGCTGATTACGATGGTGACGAAAGTGATGGTGATGATGATGGTGATGGTGATTGTGATTCTGATGGAGAGGGTGGTGACGATGATGGTGATGCGGGTAATGATGGAAAGGCTGATTATCATGAGTGTGGTGATTGTGTGATGATGGTAACGATGACGATGACGATCACGATGATCATGATGATGTTGTTGATGATGTTGCTGTTGATGACGGTGATGATATTTCAGATGATGATGGTGATGATGATGCTGATTATGATGATGATGCTGATGATGATGATGATGAGGAGGTGGATATGGATGATGCTGATGATGACGTTGCTGCTGCTGATGATGATGATGATGATGATGATGATGATGATGATGATCATGATTATGTTCATGAGTATGATTACGATGATTCTGATGAGTCTAATGCTTACAATGGTTGTAGTGGCGACGATGATGGTGCAACTGCTGATGATGGGGACGAGTCTGAGGAGGAGCAAGAGGAAGGAGGAAGAGGAGGAGGAGGAAGAAGAAGAAGGAAGACGAGGAGGCGGAGGACGAGGAAGGGAAGGACGGTTGAGGATGAGGATGGGGGGGGAGGAGGTCGGCTGGGCTCCCGCTCCTCCGCGCGCCCGCGCTCCCGGCACCCGGCCTCCGTCGGGCCTTGCCAGGTGCCGCGACGCGCGCCGCGGTGCACGGGAAGGATGCCGCCGGCCGCCTGACGCCCGACATGCAGCAGATCGTCACCACCCTCGGGGAGGTGGTGGAGGGCATGGAGGCCGTAATCACTCCCTCCTGGGCAATATCTGCTCGAGTGGCTCGAGCCGTCCCACCGACCCCCAGAAGAGAGAGGCAGCGAGGGAGAGCTTCGCACGTGTGCGGAAGTAAGTGGGACTGCTGGGGCTCGAATGCATTGGCTCGTGTCTCGCTCTTTTGG